CCTGGAGGCACTAGTAGTGATCCTCTTTACTGGTGGTTGTTCATTTGGTGGGGTGTGCATTTCTTCATTAGCCCTCTGCAGAGCTGCAAAGTGGTTCTGGGTGGGGACGCTGGATTTTGAAGGAAGCCCCTTGCTTTTAATTGTTCTCTTCTTCCTCTTTTTTTTTATCTTAGCTCCCAGCTTCCTGGGTTAATGCCATCATTTTCTGTATGTGCTATGGTGGGCACTTGTGGGCCCTGAACAGTTTGGGCCTGTAGCAAGCAGTCCAGCTCCCTGTCAGCTTCCCTGGTATATTTTAGCCTATTGACAGTCTCCCACAGCTCCCCCACTTGCTGCAGGAGGACCTCCATCAGCGCACACAGAGTGCAGCCCTGTCCACTGTGCACCCATGCCTCAAGAAATAAGTCAAGGCACTTTTTACACTTTGAGGTCTGTGCTGCAGCCTCCCCTCTCGTCAGCTCTGTCTGGGTGCCTGGGAGAGACTGATCTGAAATCAGTCTCCACTGTCCACTGTCCCAAAGACTGGTATGAGAAGTTGAGATGGGATTCCACAGTCCATTGTCTCAAGGACTGGTATGACAAGCTGAGATGGAATTCACCTATCTTTTGTCTCAGAGATGGCTGGGGGGAGTTGAGATAAGACTCCAATGTCCATTGCTTGGGAAAACGGTGTGAGGAGCTGAAATGGGACTCCACCAACCATTGCCTGAGAGATGAGTGGGAAAGATCTGAAGTAAGACTCTTCTGTCCATTATCCCAAGAATTGCTGCAGATACGTGCAGTTGGAGAGCTGGCTGCAAGACCAGGGAAACTGGACCACCAGGAGCACATAATACATGACATAAAGAACAGAAGTGCTTTCCCTCCCCCTCCTCCCCCGTGATAAAAGGGGGAAAAGGTAATCATGAAGAGGAGCCATTGCCATGAGGACAACTCCAGAAGGAAACCTCCATGAGGACACTCTCCACCATTGACTACTACAGACCCTGAGGGACACCCTCCATGAGACATTGCCATGAGGACAACTCCACGAGACACACTCCACAGGGTATCTTCAAGGAGACAACTCCAGACAGACACTGCCACGAGGACACCTACCTCTGACGACTACTATGGACTCTTGGGGACACTCTGCTCTGATACTGACTATGAACCCTGGACAACTCCCACCACCGATGATGATGCATCCCCAGGACACTTCTGGAGAGAGTCCACAGTGGTGACTCAAACTCCCTTATTATGTAAGATGTACATAATAACTGGCTACATTTTTTTTATAAACAGATGCACTGAGATATACATACTCACCCACAGCCAATACACTATTGTACAACTTCAGAACCAGTCCTGTGCCTTATAAACCTTTTCCTCAGTTCTAAAGATATAAGGAATGTGTTTTATGTAAAACCCAAATATAGCAGCTTTTGTATTTAACATCATATTTACAAGTTGAACAAGCTGAAATATAATCATATGACGAAGACAAATTTTGAAGAGCAGATAGCTAAAAGCAAAAAAAAAGTACATCAGAAGAAGCTCATGAGATTGAGGAGCTTGCTGAAAAAGAACTCAAAGCTGAAGATTCTGCAGAAAGGCTGAACGATTCTTAAACTTCAGTGTATACTACTGAGGAATTATTTACCCAAGACATACACTTTTGAGGTGAAGAAGAAATACTGTCAGACTGCAGTATCAATAGAGGACATGCTGGAACAAATTGATCATTAGAGCAGCAAGCCAGCAACACCAGACAGTCGTGTTCTAACAGGATTTTAATACAGTGGTAAAATTTAATGACTACATCTTAGCAGTACAGACACCTGATTCTTGACAGCCAGAGGGCAGAAAACATTGACAGAAACACCAGAGGCAATTTGGGGAATCACAAGCACACCACCTTTATTTCCTGCTTAGGTTTTCATACAGATTATGTCAGAACAAAATATAGACAGGAATGTACCTTCCCTGCAGCTAAACAATAGTACTTGGTTCATTAAAGCACCAGGAAGTACTATAATCTCTGAGAGTGACAAGTAATACTTGTAACTAAACTGCAAGACAAACACATTGTTACTGCAAATATAAGCTGTAGTTCCTTCTGTAACAACACCCAGAGACAAACTACATTTTGTCATTCATTTAATCCTGATATTTACATATATATACAGGTACACAATCACACAGAATCATAGACATATACATGCAACTTTTTAGGGCATGTATGAAGGAAAAAGGATATTACATGTAAAGATTGTATATCTTTTCAGCAAAATGGTAACCAAGGACTTCTACCTTTAGATTACATTCTGAATTTAAAAAAACACTGCCAGAGGAATCCTATTGAAAGCTATTTTATGTACTTCCTGACAGCAAAAATATTCAGTGAACGCAATCTATGTTTCAAGCCTCTTTCCATCACTTAATTTCTATCATAAAAGAAAAAACATGAGACCAGCAAAAGTTTCTGCACTCCTCATGTAATCCTATGCATAAACTATACTAATAATCAACTTAAGTGCATGCTACCTTCACATCAAAGAACTTGAGAATATAGTTTGCCCCTAAAACTTACAATTCTCCACCTCTCTTATTAAAGATGATCTGATTCTGATGAATATATTTCAGCAAGACAGTGAGCACCTTACAGTGTGCCAAGGAGCACTGGCATGTTGCACATGTAATATATTTTGGATGCAGTAACCTGAACGGAAATCTACAACAAAAAAATTGTCGCACCATACTGCACTTAAAATTCATTCAAGATCTATTTAGTTAATACCAGTACTTTCTTTTAACATCACTATCACTACAACATATGGAAGGTGCCTTAAGGGAGCCATGACTCAATCCTTGAACATTTTTTACAGGTCCTACCTAACACCACATTACAATCCCCAAGGAACTGGGAGCTCAAACTCACCAAGGATTCAAGGTGAGAAAAATAAATAATCAAGCCATCCACGTCTACACTGTACATAGCTTCTGAGAAGCCTTTTATGTAGTATGAAGCAGATATAGAAATGAGAAGGAATAGATCACTCTCAGCCATTTGTCTTATTATAGAACAAAAAAAACCCTGACACAGCCAGAGTATTAATAGTGGAATATGAGGGAAGCTTTTTTGGAGGAAGGGGAGAAACGCATCTCTGAGCAAACTGTACCCACTGTTTTCTTTAAGTCAGAAGCTTGGCCTATTTTGAAGCTCTTGTACCTATTCTGAGCCTGTTTTACTATTATATTACTACACAATACAGATAGTGAAGACTAATACATAACAGTACATGCTCAAAATGTACTTCTGGAAAAATCAACTTAAACCATTGACCAGTGTTTAATAGGTAAGGCAGCAAAGTGAAAATTAATATGTTTTATGTATAAACTCAAAGTCTCTTAAAGATTCTGTCCAGAACACTGCTTCTGGCAGATACATGAAAGATTACAATATCATGGTCTATCAATGAAGAATATGTTAGCAGGACCATTCTCTGTATAAAACATTGTCTTGTACTCTGCACCAGTGGCCAACATCCAAGTAAACAGCCTCTTTCATTAGAAGTTAATCATAGATTAGTCTTAGCTCAACTATTTGTCATTAATTAAAAAGCATCACTAATTAACACTGTACTATAGTCAGAAGAAACTATGAAACATAAAAGTAGATGCTATCCCAGTGTGCAGTATGTTTTCAAGTAGAAGCTTCACTGCAAAAGATGCAGTTCAGAAAAAAAGCAAGATCCTTTTATTCTGCTAGATAGTGCTATACTCCTATCTGCTAAAGGAACTGTAAATATTACAGTGAAGCTACATTAATTGTGCTGTGCTTGTATAATTAGGCTTGTAAATCAACAATACTTTGACTATTATTTTTCCTGCCTAACCACTGCAACTAACTTTACAGAAGCCATCTGATAATACTCACTATATACCTTTCACTGAAAACAATGGCTTTATTTATCCCCACTCATTTTCTATTTTTCAACCAGATTCAAACACAGTTCAGCATTGGGATAAAACTGTTTACAGTATTACACCCCTGTAAACAGCCAAGGCGAAGCTGGAAGACAGCAGAGGCAAGTGCAATGATGACAATGTGTTTGCTTAACTAAAGGAATGGACATAAAAGATTCAGGCCTTTACCTTATACAGTCCACCTCAGATAATATTTCAATGCCTCATGTGCAATCTGGTACTATATTGAAATATTCTGGTGTAATGAATTTAGTAACGTGTGAAAGTGAGAACACTCACCTCTTATGCTTTAGGTTTGTTTCCATTTGGCTTGCTTCTACTTTATGAATTAATGACAAGCTTCTGAATAAATTTGATTTTCCTGCCAAATTCAAACTGGTTTTCTCGCTTTAATTCTGGCTTGATGTACTATACCCTGACTTTGTATTTGTACAAAGCTCACTGTCATTATAGATGGTTGTTACCAAAAATTAAAGAAGCCATTTTCATCAGAATCAATATGAAATTTCAGGCTGGCTTTGGAATATTTCCCTTGATCTTGTTACAGATTTTTGTCTCCAGGTGAGCTTATTGCAGCTTCTTCTACTCAAAAAAACTTGGTGGCATATTGCTGTTTGAAACCAGTATCAAGTTTCAGAGTAACAGGTAACAACTTCAGGAACCAAGAGAAACACTTTGGTCAACTGCCTGAATCTCCAAAATGATACACAGAGCAAGAGAATACTGCAGAACATTTTAACACACAGATGGCAAACTGCATGTACAACCATAGAGAGAGGAAAGAGAGAACACAAATCATTTTCACATAGAAGTTCTGACAGGATAACTGTGCTATCTATCTGGACTTTTCTACAGGGAAGAGAAGCTATGGATCTTACTCTAACTACCGAGCTACTATTTTCAAGTGCAGATTTATCACTTTTGCCATTTCTTTGTTATACATCCATATTTCTAAACAAGAATACATGTAAATTTCTGAGTTTTGTGAGAATATATCATACATAAGTACTTACTATTCAGAGAAGTCTTACCTGCTACCAAGGATTGGCTCCCCAGAAGCTCCCAAAGCAGAATAGTCCATGCCATAGAAATTCAGCCCCAAAAGTATTTTATTCCTCCATTTTGAATCAGGATCCAGTACTTGAACACAGGCTCGTACCCAGGAAAGAGGAGAATTTGGACCAGGTCTGTCAAGTCAGTGAGAAACAAACAGGTTGTCAGAAAAAGTGCACATTCATTCCTGGCCTTCTCTTTTTGCCTAGTATAAATCGTAAAGAGCAAACTATGGCACACAAAAATCATTGAAGGTTAGCCTACAGTATATAAAGGTTAAATGTACATTCTCTAGTGGCTTGAAGTGCTGAAGTACAAAACATGCTTGCCCCAGTCTTGACTTTGTGATTCCCTTCCAAGGTGAAGGGACACAAAATGTCTTAAGAGTTGGTAAGAAAAGGTTTCCACCTAGCACATTTTGTCACTGGGCCTGGCACAATGCCTACACAGTAATTCACAACTCTGTATGACTTTAGCTTTTTTTCCAATAACATCCTCAATGTTTTTACTGTAAACTGGCACAACATACTGGGACAAAATCTACCATTTATTTACAGAAAGAACTAGAAAATCAGTGATTGTTTTCAATAATTGTTTTAAGGCTTATTTATGGACAAAACTCTAAACAAGCAACTACTCAACAAAAAGCTAAATTAAGAACAAGGGCAGCGCCTTAATTCACAGAGTAAATTAATTGTTGTACATACAGCATCAGAACATGGTGCTCTTTCCACTCCTCTCTCATCAGAGAGAAGAGCAGACTTTATCACAAACACTCGCTAACATGGTAAAAGGAAAAGCATATTCTAGTTTTACAAATATCAACAACATCTACTCCCTTCTAAGTACCTGCCTCAGAGCCTTCTGGATATCTATGCCATTAAAACTCAATCTGCTAATACAGTGCAGGAATGTTGCTGGAAATTGTGTGCATATTTAAAGGCAAAAGAATTGTGACAAAACAGTACGTATTATCCTGCATTTCACATACTCAGAACAATCAAAGCAACTTCAGGCAAAAAAAGGATTTTATTTCTATCAAATCCTTTCTCAGACTAAAAGCATTACATGTCATAAACTATATCTATTTCAAATACACCGGGTATGAACTTAAGTAAAAAGATTAGGAAGTCCAAGTCAGGTCTAAGTAATTTAAAGCACCAGTGAAAGTATATAAAAGTATATAAAGTATATGAAGTATATAAAGTATATAAAATATAACCCCCATTTTCAAGAAGGACGGAAAATGGATGACTTGGGGAATTACAGACCAGTCAGTCTCACCTCTGTGCCTGGCAAAATCTTGGAGCACATTCTCCTGGAAGGCATGCTAAGGCACATGAAAATCAACAAGGTGCTTGGTGACAGCCAGCATGGCTTCACTAAGGGCAAATCCTGCCTGACCAATAATTTGGTGGCCTTCTATGATGGGGCTACAGAAGTGATGGACAGTGGTAGAGCAGTTGATGTCATCTACTTGGACTTGTGCAAAGCATTCGACACGGTCCCACATAACATCCTTGTCTCTAAACTGGAGAGACATCAATTTGATGGATGCACCACTTGGCGGATAAAGAACTGGCTGGATGGCCACACACAAAGAGTTGTGGTCAGTGGCTCAATGTCCAGCTGGAGACCAGTAAAAAGTGGTGCCCCTCAGGGATCGGTGTTGGGACCGGTCTTGTTTAACATCTCTGTCGCTGACATGGACAGTGGGATTGAGTGCACCCTCAGCAAGTTTGCCGATGACACCAAGCTGTGTGGTTCGGCTGATACGCTGGAGGGAAGGAATGCCATCCAGAGGGACCCTGACACGCTTATGAGATGGGCTGATGACAACCTAATGGAGTTTAACCATGACAAGTGCAAGTCCTTGCACCTGGGTCAGAGCAATCCCAGGCACACCTACAGGTTGGGTAGAGAGGAGATTCAGAGCAGCCCTGTGGAGAAGGACTTGGGGGTGCTGGTCGATGAGAAAATGAACATGAGCCAGCTTCAGTGTGTGCTTGGAGCCCAGAAAGCCAACCATATCCTGGGCTGCATCAAAAGAAGCATGACCAGCAGGTCGAAGGAGGTGATCCTGTCCCTCTTCTCTGCTCTTGTGAGACCTCACTTGGAGTTTTCTGTGCAGTTCTGGTGTCCTCATCGTAGGAAGGACATGGAGCTGTTGGAACAAGTCCAGAGGAGAGCCATGAGGATGAACAGGGGACTGAGGCACCTCCCATATGAAGATAGGCTGATAAAGTTGAAGCTGTTCAGCCTGGAGAAGAGAAGGCTGTGTGGAGACCTCATAGCAGCCTTCCAGTATCTGAAGGGGGGCTATAGGGATGCTGGGGAGGGACTATTTGTTCGAGACTGTAGTGACAGGACAAGGGTTAATGGGTTAAAACTTAAACAGGGGAAGTTTAGATTGGATATAAGGAAGAAATTCTTTTCTGTTAGGGTAGTGAGGCACTGGAATAGGTTGCCCAGGGAGGTTGTGAATGCTTCATCCCTGGCAGTGTTCAAGGCCAGGCTGGACGATGCCTTGGGTGATATGGTTTAGTGTCAGGTGTCCCTGCCCATGGCAGGGGGGTCGGAACTTGATGATCTTAAGGTCCTTTCCAACCCTAACTATTCTATAATTCTATTCTGTGATTCTACGTGACTACTACAAGATGTGATTTTAACATGGCACAAAGCATGGTGCAGCTTTGCCACACAGGGAAGATGTAGCCTACAGCACAGAATTCTGAAATGCATTCAGGGTTCCAGATGGGTTTGTATAGCATGTACAAAAGCCCTTATCACTTCATCTTCATAGATCTCAGATTTACCTAGAGGAAACCTAAACTGGATACATCTATGCTGCATATTTCAGCAGGAGAGTAACAAAAAATCATTTTAACTTCAGTTTATATTACTGTCTATATTTGCTCTCCTCTAGGTTGCTCAGCTTGAAGATGTAGAGACAGGCCTGGGGAAGCAGGTATACAAATTCTTTTCAGAAGAGACAAAAGTTCCTTTTTGCTAAACCTGTTGAGACATTATCAAAATGCTAACATACTACAGGTGACAAAGAATTTAGTGATATAATAAAAAACAAAAATTATGGCATTTCTAAATCTGTCAGTTCAACACAAATATTAACTCTGGACAGTCACCTTGAAGCAAGACACACAGAATCTAACAGGAATTCCAAAAGCATGTCCTTTCCCTACAATTTGAGGTGAAGTGAACCATGCTTTTGGAGAACAGTAACATAACATGTCCTTGCAGAGTTTAAGGACCTCAGCTACACTGCTGATCCACTTTCACTCAGTTAAAAGTATTAACTAATACTCCTGAAAATTAGTATTCATGGGCAAGAGTGAGGTTCTGTATTATTTTCCAGTCTGATCAGTTCCCTGATCTGGTTTGATGAACTGCTGCATAAGGAGCTGTACCAGTACAGGGGAGGCACTAGAAGAATGGAAAAACATATCCACATTAGCAGTGTTGCCAAAAGGCACTCTGCTGCCTAGGATGAGGCAAATGAGTTGTCACTGTTGAAAAAAATGAGCTTTGAAGCACAACTGACATGTATTAGATTATTCATGTACCTATCCTGCAGAACTGTGCTAAAAAGTAATAACAAAAGAACCTGCCCTGGAAAAGAGTAAATATCGTGGAACTAGTAAAAGAGTATTTTTTTACCCTGAGTACAAAGCCTTTTACAATATCTGGGTGCCAAATATATTCTCCCGTTAAACAATGTTCTGAGCTCTTGGCTTGTTCAAAATTCACCTATCCTAATTACTAATCCAAAACCTCATTAACTGATACAGTTACAACACACTATCCACTTTACTAAAAAAAATGACCTCATACTGTAGATTTAATAGTGACTTAACTGGGAGTCAGTTCCTTCAGCAATCTTTCTGTAATGTTAGATGGAGTCTTACCGTTGTGGTGTTGAATAGTCGTATGTCATGAGACTGAAGCTGTCTATTGCTGAGGCCAACTGATCAAATTCTTTCTTTGTGAACATTCCTGGCCGGTTAGTCCTTTTAAAACAAACCAAAACAAAAACAGGAAGAGATAAATGACTACAATAACCTGGCTTATTCTGTCCTTCAGGTTTCATACCATTTGATCAGGTAAGAAAAATCATTCATTTCAAAGGTGGCAAAACAAAGATACTGCAATGCCATTCTTATAATAAATGTCTAAGAAAAGAAATAAAATCAATACTACTTATGTTACCAGTGGGAAGAATCAGACTTCCACACCATACGTACCAAATAAGCATTTCCAGCATGGCTGCAATAGGGATAAGAGATGTGGTTTCAATCAACTGAACTCTAAAAGCTTTTACAAAACCTGTATTTGCTTGGCTTGTCATGCTGGTTTTGATACTTATATGACTAAGTTATCTAAGCCATACTTAAAAAAAATAGATGGGTGCAACTGTCAATACAAAAACATAAACCAAAGGTATTTTTTTTATTCATCTCAAATAGAACAGTAATTTCAGCATGTACTGTATTTAAGACATTTTCTCTCACTGGTAAAAAACATTTCAGTTTCTTTCCGTTCCCTTCCCCAAAACGTCCTAAAAGCAGAAGGCCAATACAACTGCCTGATTTTAGCAATTCTTGCCTGAATGTACCATTTCTTTCATGGGGTGGGGGGGAGAGGAAGGGGGAAAGAGGGAAGGGGAAGAGAAGAAATCTATTCGATAACATCTAAACAGAAGTCTAGTTATTCCTTCTGCACATCTTTGCATGAAATACGAAACAATTTTTTTACTTCCCCTTTTTTTTTTGCTTATTCTTGATTTACAGAATCTAGCATTGGGTCAACATCTACTTTAGCTTCATGGTTGAGGGATTGTATTTTTGACAGTTTTAGACTTGTAGAGACTACTGACTTCCTTCAACCATTCAACTCGGAAACAATGCATGCAAGTTGCCTGAAAACGCTGAATCTGTTTTGAAGAGAATTCATTAACTTTGAACTAGCAGCACACATAGCACAGCAGGGAACATAGAGCACCCTTAATCACATTGCAAAGATGGGACTGAACAAAAAAGGAGAAGCTGTTGTCAGGCTGAGGGCTCTGAGGCACATTAAGAATATTAAGATGAGAAAGAGAAGTTACATATTGTCCTGAACAGCCTGGGAGAGCAGGGTTCCCAGGGGAGCATAAGGAGAGGGAAAGGATAGAGGAAGAGACAGAAGAGATTTCAAAAAAACATGGTTTAACAGCTACAAACTCTGTGGTGCCACTCTGCCATTTAAGGGCAAACTTAGAGAATTATGTAAGATTCTTCTATAGAGTAGAGCAGAGACTGAAGAATCCAGACCCTCCCAGTAGTATCATAAACTGCTACTTGACACAGAAGTTAGTAGGCAACATCTGTCTAGACAAGGTACCCATTCAAACCACTTATGTTCCATTTTAAATGTTAAAACCAAAAAAGATGCTCAGTGACAGATGCAAGTAATAAACTGGAAAAAAATCACCTTTTTTATCTTATCACTTTTGGATCAGTGTGCAAATTCTTCATCCAACAATATGGGCTGAATAGATCATCAGAGCAAAGCAGTGTTCATTTATCAGTTTACTTTCTGTTCTACCATTCAATCACATTAGGAGAGAGGATAACAGAATACAGGTTACACAGTGGAGCAGATTAAATTATATAACGTGCCTTCATGTTATGAGGGAGTGAAGCATGAATAATAAACCTGATGAAGCATACACTGGATTATGTAGCTGTGATCATGAAGCATAGTGGAGTACTGGAAGTCTCAAATTTTCAGAACCACTGATCTACTTGTCATATTACAGAGAAACCCTATCATTATTCTTCTGTGGTTTTAACAAATTAAAACAAACCTTCACTCTGGATCCTACTGGTGGACCCCATTTTTTTTTATAGTTTTCTGCTTGTCATTTACTGCAATTGCAAACTACAGTTGTTCTACAAGAATAAGGAAAATGAAAGGCATCTTTGAAACAATGTCATGGCAACTGTAGGCAAAGCAATTCCCCAGGGCAAACTAGCAAACCATATTTTCAGTAAATTGATTGCGATTACTCATGAAAGGAAAAGTATAAAAAAGTAATTGTTATGTGTTTTAGATATTAGGGCAAGTTGGACTGCTTTGTAGATTAAGCTGGGTAGTACTTTAATGAAATTTGTATGTGTAACTTGCCCTCTATATCCATTTTTCATATACAGTGTCAAGGACTAAGAGAGGGGGAAAGAATGAAACTAAAGCAAAAACAAAACCAGGTTGAAATCTATTATTGTTATAATTTTCTCCATTTTTTCCAAAGCAAGCATGCAACTGAACTACTTCCACTACACAGGAATGCCATCTGAGGAGCAAAGTCATAAATTTTCAACTTGGAACAAACTCAGCAGCAAGGAATATGCTTCATCCATTCATGGATAGTGTTAAAACACCACCACTCTTCACAGAAAGCAAGTACCACTCACCAGCTCAAGCAGCACCACCAGTCAACTCTGCCCTAGTCAAGCACCTTGCGAAACTGTTCACTGGAGCAAAACTGCAAGTCTTTGATTCATGCCTCGAGAATCATTCTGAGTCAAGAAAACAGGCACTCAAGGATAAAACCTAAATATTTGTCAAAAGCTGTTATGATTCCTATCTAAAGTTTTCCAATAATCTTGATATTTAAGCATAAACTTAAATCAAGGGCAGGTATGCTATTGAGAGTACTGGCTACCCTGAATTTTGAGAAGGCTGAGGTTCTTAATGACTTCTTTGCCTCAAGTCTTCATTGGCAAATTCTCTGACCACACAACCCAAGTCCTGGAAGGCTGACGCAGAGACTTTGAGAATGAAGACCTTAGGCCCACTGTAGGAGAGGATCTGGTTCGAGACCATCTTAAGAACCTGAATGTACGTACGCAAGTCCATGGGTCCTGAAGGAGCTGGCGAATAAAGTTGCTAAGCCGCTGGCCATCATATTTGAAAAATCATGGCAGTCAGGTGAAGCTCTCTATGACTGGAAAAAGGGAAATATAACCCCCATTTTCAAGAAGGGGAAAATGGATGATGCAGGAAACAACAGACCAGTCAGTCTCACCTCTGTGCCTGGCAAAATCTTGGAGCAGATTATCCAGGAAATCATGCAAAGGCACATGAAAAACAACAAGGTGCTTAGTGACAGCCATGGCTTCAATAAGGGGAAATCCTGCTTGACCAATTTGGTGGCCTTCTACGATGGGGCTACAGAAGTGATGGACAGCGGTAGAGCAGCTGATGTCATCTAGCTAGACTTGTGCAAAGCTCTTGACACTGTCTCACACAACATCCTTGTCTCTAAATTGGAGAGACATCAATTTGATAGATGGATGACTTGGTGGATAAAGAACTGGCTGGATGGCCACATGCAAAGAGTTGTGGTCAGTGGCTCAATGTCCAGCTGGAGTCCAGTAACGAGTGGTGCCCCTCAGGGATCGGTGTTGGGACCGGTCTTATTCAACACCTCTGTTGGTGACATGGACAGTGGGATTGAGTGCACCCTCAGCAAGTTTGCTGATGACACCAAGCTGTGTGGTTCGGTTGACACGCTGGAGGGAAGGAATGCCGTCCAGAGGGACCTTTGACATGCTTGTGAGGTGGGCTGATGCCAACCTAATGAAGTTTAACCATGCCAAGTGCAAGGTCCTACACCTGGGTCAGAGCAATCCCAGGCACAGCTCCAGGCTGGGCAGAGAAGAGATTCAGAGCAGCCCTGTGCAGAGGGACTTGGGGATGTTGGTCGATGAGAAAATGAACATGAGAAGGCTTCAGTGTGCACTCGCAGCCCAGAAAGCCAATCATATCCTGGGCTGCATCAAAGGGAGCATGACCAGCAGGTCAAAGGAGGTGATCCTGCTTCTCTTCTCTGCGCTCATGAGACCTCAGTTGGAGTACTGTGGACAGTTCTGATGTCCTCAACATAAAAAGGACAAGGAACTGTTGGAACAAGTCCAGAGGAGGGCCATGAGGATGATCAGGGGACTGGAGCACCTCCTGTATGAAGATAGGCTGAGAAAGTTGAGGGTCTTCAGCCTGGAGAAGGCTGCTTGGAGACCTCACAGCAGCCTTCCAGCATCTGAAGGGGGGCTATAGAGATGGGGAGGGACTATTCGTTAGAGACTGTAGTGACAGGACAAGGGTAATGGGTTAAAACTTAAACAGGGGAAGTTTAGATTGGATATAAGGAGGAAGTTCTTTACTGTGGGGGTGGTGAGGCAGTGGAATGGGTTGACCAGGGAAACTGTGAATGCTCCATCCCTGGCGGTGTTCAAGGCCAGGTTGGACAGAGCCTTGGGTGGCATGGCCTAGTGGGAGGTGTCTCTGCCAATGGCAGGGATATTGGATTTAGATGATCTTCATGTCCTTTCCTACCCTATTATATGATTCTATGTTCTACTGAGTACAACATTGAGAAAACCAGCACAGAGAAAATCAAGAGACTTCACACAGAATTTGCAAGACGTTATTGAGACGTTTCCAAGTCTAAGCCAATAGCCTGTCATTCTTCTGAGCCCTATTTCCAAAATACTCAGTGAAGTGGCGGAAACTTCATCATCATTTATTAGCACAATACAATATACATACTAGAGACAGCTTTTTATTAAATTATCAGATGACTAAACCCTTGGTAATTTTATCTGCTCATTATCAACATTACAAGTAAGAAGGAGCAGAAGTCAGGTGTATGAACATGTATAATAGGAAAAGCAAATCATTTAATATACTTGAAAAGTCTCTTTGCACGGAATTAATCCTGACCTCTGAACTGCTTCATTTGCTCTGAGCTCCCCATAAGACACAGTTCAAAATTACATCTCATTTGGAGTCTAACAAATGTACTCATTAAAAGAGCTAAACTGAACACTGAATACAACAGAATCTGCTGTTTAAAGAAACCCACTCCTACTGCTCTAAAAATACACTGAAATTATTCAACATGTACTATAAACATTGAAGAATGGGGCTGACTGAAGAATAGGGTTGATTGAAGAACAGGGTTGTA